GACTTTTTCTTACTTTTGCCGTTTCGTTTCTTTGTTTCCTCGCCCCGCTGTTCGTAGTGCTGCCCCGCCTCCCTCTGGCTTGCGTAGAATTTGTCCATTGCGGCCCCCTGCAGACAGACCTTCTTTTTTTTTTTTAATTGTTGTTGTTTTCCCTCTCATTGCCATGGAAACTGCACTCTGGTGTAAGTAAGCAAAGAAAAACACGGAGGAAAAAAAGAAACAAGTGTAGGACAGCCAGGGCATTAGCAGCCATGAGTGCATTCTTCGACTTTGAGACCATCGCTTATGTGCTGCTGCTTCTCATCTGCACGGCGACGTACCTGCGGCAATACCGGCCCACACTTTTCCATCGCGACCACAAGGAGCTCCACCGTAAGTTTATGTACAAGTGTAGTGTCATTGGAGACAGACTTTCTTTGTGGGTTGCTCTTGGCTGTATAGTCATTGCGGTGAGGATGCTATTCGTGTACTGAAGCTACCGTTGGGAAGGAAAAGTGACAGAGACGGGGGAGGCGTCGTAGTTAACTCCTCCGTACTTAGTGCACGCGGGTGCGCTGGTGGTGCGGTCGCATGCTTGTTGGTGGGCGTTGTTGTGGTAACCCCCGCGTCCTTTACGTGCGACGCGGAGGCAGTTCCTGTTCCTTCACGCCCGCATTCGGCTGGACGACGTTGGTTCTCATTGTATGCGCCGCGGCGTCGGGGAGAAGTGTCTCCTGGTGGTTGGTGGCGGTTGCACTTGATTTTGCTCACGCATTGCTCCCTCCTGCTGCTGCCTCTGCTGGCGCCGTTGCCGTTGTGGGTGCCTTTTGTGTTGTGTCGAGTTTCACGTGTTCCGCCATTTGTATGTCCTGTTCGTCGCTTCCCTGTTTCGCAGAGCAACGGAAACCGCGCTGCTTCCTCCCTCCCCGCGTCCTCTCGCTTCTTACCTGACAAGCAGGAGGGATTTTTTTGTGTATAGGCACAGAGTTGCATACGAACATACCCACACATAGAGAGGGAGGTTTGTGTGTGTGTCGTTTGTCCCTCAGGAGCTGGTGACATCCGTTCTGACGCATCGTGGGTGAAGTAGGAGGAGTAGGAGAAGAGAGAAGGCAAGAAGACAAAGGCAGTAATAGCTAGGACGGGAGAGACGCATGCGTTGCTCACACTCGCTGCGGTCCGCAATGCGTCGGACGGCCGCGCTGTTGACCATCAGCGATGAGTACATTCCGCGCGCCTTTCCGGTGAAGTCCACAACCGGCTTAGCGGGTGTTGCAGTAGAGCCATTGTGGAAGCCGAAGCTTCTTGCCGCGTCGGCGGAGTTGCAGGCATTCTTGACCACTTCTGACATTCCACCAGAGTCGACGTACTACAACATTGCCATGACGCTTGTAAAGCGCATCAACCACGGCGTGAAGGAGTGCCAGGATGACTGGTGCACCTTGGAGAAGCGGTACTTCTGGGGGTGGCCTGTGGAGTATATTCTCCAGGTCACCTGGCGGGAGTTGGAGACGGCGCAGAAGTGGAACGAGTGGCGTTTTTGGGAGTTGGACCCCGAGCAGGTGAAGAAGGTGGCGCGGGAGGACCAGAATATCGGTAGAGAGGGACTTGGCTACAACAGCCCCTGGGAACAGGTTGTGCGGGAGGACTTTGACAAGCGCAAGAAGGCACTCACGCAGGAGGAAATGGCGGAGCTGAAGCGCATGGACACTGAGCGCTTGGCGCGGGAGACCGCCGCCTACAAGGAACGCAAAGACCGCATCCGCGATGACTTGGAAAAGGCGCGTGGTGACATGCTGAAGAAGTTCTTGAACAAGCGCTTCGCCGTGGACAAGGACCTCCAGCGCATGCAGCCAGGCGCGCGCTACAGCGGGAAGACCTCGGACGACCTCATCGCCGAGCTCAAGTCTTCGGTGCAAAACAACCCACAGAAGCAGGAGCCAAAGAAGTGAGGCCCAGCCTCGTCGGTTTTGTCGGCATCATGTGCTGCAGCTTAATTTCTGTCTGTCTGTCTTTTTTTTTCTTTTGTCGTGCGTGTCCTCCTCTCCGTTTCCTCTGAATTTCTCAATTATTTATTTGTTTTTGTTTGCGCGGGGGCTTGCCGTGCGCCCATCCAGCTGCATGGAGGCTGGGGCTTCACTGTGGCGCTCGCCGTGCCGGTTGCGCGTGTGAGGAGGAGTAACGTGTTGGGGCCGCGGTGGGAGGACTGAGGCGGGCGATGAAAGTCGGAGGGAGCCGCCTCAAAAAAAAAGAAAAAAAAGGAAGGGGGGGAATGATAAAAATGACATGGAGCATGAGAACATATTAAACTACGGGGGTGGTTGGTTCCACTGCGGCTGCGGGTCAGGGCAGGAATGGGCGTGACTGGGCATGTCTCTGGGTGTAGAGGAGGGGGCGCGGGGTGAGTTTAGGTAGTAATCACACGAGCAATACAGTAAGTGATGAAGGAAGGGAGGAATGCGTCCACGAGTAATAAGGATATATATATATATAGAGAGAGAGAGAGAACGCCTGCGCGAGTGCGTGAGCTTGTGTGTGACGAGACACAAGGAATCGGATTCTGTATTTCGGTGTATATTGTTGGTGCAGTGGCTGTTTTGCGCCGTGGTGGTGCATGGACCCTGGACAGCGTCTGTCTGTTGACGTAGTTGGCTCCTTTCCTCGCCCGTGTTCAGTACGGCGTCAACAAAACCCCCTTCTCCTCACACACACACACATGATAATGTAGAGGAACGCTTGCTTTTGAGCACGCCCTCAATGGGCGAGAATGCGTTGCCGGGCGAGAGGGAAGGGAAAAGAAAAGATGAGTTTGTGCATGTGTGTGTGTGTGTGTGTGTCCGTGCGTCTTATTTATTTATTTAGTATTTTTTTTTTCGCCCCCCGTCTGCGATGTCTGCGTGCCACGAAGGAGAGGGAGGGGAGGGGTGTGTGCGTGTGTGTTGTTTGTTGAAGTTGAGGTTTCCTCGTGGCCCTGGAGGCAGTGGGGGGTCACACAGCCTGTGCGATGTTTTTCTTTGTTTGTTTGCTTGTGCCTTCTTTTCTCCCCCCGCTTTGTGTGCCTTTTCAGGTAAGTCGGTAGCCGGTTTATCAGACGCACGTCACACTCGTGTCTGCGGGTGCGTACTTGCTTGCATTACCTGCGCGCCTCGGTGACTACGCGGGCCGAGGAGGAAGAGGGCGGAGGAGGGGAAGGCGGAGAAGCAGAGGAAAATAAAAGGCGGAGAACAAACACGCACACACAAAATAAAATAAACTAAACTAAAATAAAATAGTTGGGCCAGAGGCGGGAGGTGACGCACATGTCGTTTTCTTTTATTGAGTCGGGGTTTGCGTCCCCCGACGGCGTGTACCGCCGCGGTGTGGGTGCGGCAGACAATTCTGCCGCCGCCACCGCTGCGATTCTGCGGGACGCGGTGCCGCCGCTGCTGGACGCTGGCAGCAAGACCCGCGTCTGCATGGACTTCTACGAGGTCGCGCGCTGCCGCTACGGCAACGGCTGCGCACACGCCCACCACTTCTCGGAGCTGAACAGCTACACGCAAAACAAACTACTCGAGACGGTGCGGGTGGAGAACATTCCGAAGCACTTCATGGCGTCGCGGAGCGGCGGCGGCAGCAGCAGCAGGAAGGACACCAGCGAGCACGGCTCTGCGGCGCCGTTTCACACGTCTTACACGACAGACGGCAACACGGCCGCCACTGCCGTCGTGGACGGCGGCGTCGCCCACCGATCGCTGGGCGGGCCCGGTGAGAGGGGGAAGGCGGGCAGCCACCGTCGCGGCAAGCGCGCGTCCCGCCCTCACGACATAAGCGGCAGCGCCACAAATTTCTGCGACAACTCCGTCTCGAGCCTCGCCTCCAGCACCGACACGTTTTTCCTCGTCGGCAGCGTCCACGAGTCAAAGGATGTCTCGCCACAAAAGGGGCTGAATCGTGAGGAGGCCGCGGAGACGTTTCGCATTCGCCTGCCGCCGCGCTGCCGCTACCCGCACCGGGTCACGCGCGGCACGTACTACGATGTCCTTGGCGTCCAACGCACCGCGACGCAGGAGGAAATCATCGCGAGCTACCGCCGCTGGCAAAAGGAGTACAAACGCCTGAAGCAGATCGACCAGCAAAACGCAGACGCCCGTGACACCGTCGTCGTCGAGGCCCGCAACGTTCTTGGCCACCCGGTGCTGCGCAGCGAGTACGACCGCACCCTTCCCATGCTCTGGAGCAGCAACTCCAACTGCAGTAGGGAGATGGCGCGAGGGGCGGCGACCCTGTCCTCGACGAATTCCTCGCGCTCAAACAACCTGGAAGCCACCGCCAGCAGCGTCCGCGTAGCGAAGGGCATTTCCGGCGCTGAGCTGGTCTCTCTCACGCATTCGGGGCTCGCGGATGACAGCATTTGGTGAGCGTTGCAAGGGCTGAAGGGAAAGTTACCGAAAGAAGACCGTTTCCCCAGGCAAAAAAGAAAAAACGGTAAGAAGAAGAAAAAGGACGAAAGCGGTGAGGTAATGTTAGAATGAATTAACGCATGGAATTGTTTAGGCAATTTTGCTTCTTGTTTGTGTGCGTGTGTGTGTGTGTTTGTTGCGGGCGTGTCTTTTTGACGTGTGTATTTCTTTTTATCCACTTCCCATTGCCTCTGTGGGTGCTGGGGTGCCGGCACGGGGCGGGGACCGTGCGCCGCGGCTTTCAGCTGCCGCGCCAAAGGGGGCTACATCCTTCACGCCCCTCCCTGTCTGTCCGCCGCTCCACTTTTCATTGGCCGGCTGGAAACGTATTTATATACCTGTCGATCCTTCTATATATACATATAAATACATGTGTTGTACCTCCAACGGCCGCAGGCATCAAAACCGTCACCGTCGTGGCGGCGTTTACGCACCTTGTCCCCCCTCTTGAGTTCACCTGTGCAGTGGCCCTCGCCATAAACACAAACGTAACTACCACGAAGAACCCAGAAGAAAACAAAAGGAAAATGAAACATGAATGAAAATGAAGAAGAAGAAATGCCTCTTAGATATGCTTTTTATATAAATAATTGCATACGTATGTATATATATATATATATATAGGTAGATCCATATCTATATGTATTAGATGTTCCTCACGCCTTACTTACCACCCTAAACTCTTTTTTTTTTTTTTGGAAGCAACATCAAGGAAGAGTTGCGCTTTCAATCCCCCTTTGAAGAGCTTCTGTTTTGTTTTAAACAAAAGGGGCGAAGCAGCGGGACACCGCGGTTGTTTTTTTTTGGTTGTTTGTTTCTGTCTGCCCTCTTTCATCATTGGCCGACACAGTACACTAAC